GGGGGATTATAAATATTCTCCAAAAGATAATAGTGAGGGAAATAAGTCACCTGTATCCTCTGAGAAAGACAAACATGGCTCTCTTGGCATGCTGATATGAAGACTGTGACTAACAATATGACCCTGAAATCTAAGTGATTGTTTTCCTGGTTAAAAAAAACAGGCTAGGAAACCCAAATATGTGATTTGTTGATCCCTTAAAACCTTCTAGTGTTATCAGTTGAAACAGTCAACTTACTTCCATGAAACCTGCTTTTAGGTCCAGAATTGCTTTCAAATTCCTCCCAACCAAGGAAATACATTTTAGCACAATTCAACTAATTCTAAATATGTGCATCTTTTCCAAAAAGTAAATATGAATCAGTACACAGAATGGAATCAGATGAAGTTATTTATGAGTTACTAAATTAGTATAGTATCTCCCTTTTGCCACCAAGACATGGCCTGAAGAGCTAGTAATTTTCTAAAATACTTGGGATTCATCTAAATGAAAAGGAGTAAGTAGATGTAGGCTGAAAATAAATCATTTAAATTTGATCCAATCTCAAAAACTCTCTAAGGCACTTATTTAATATCTTGGTTTGAAAGTTTTAAAAAGGAAAAATTTAAGGTCTATCCTCCTCTACTGTATACACAGAATAAAAGATTCTGTGAAGTTTGAGAATATCATATACACCTTATATAGTGCCTTTGTGGTTTCTTGAGTGAAGTTACAGCCATGGTGAATGTGTTTAATGTATGATTGTATCATCTTATCCCTCCCCAATACTTCTTTAAGTATAAAGATTTATGTGCCTGAAAAACGATGAAATCCATGAGTCAAATTTTGAACCCTCCTGAAAGGAAAAAACGAAGAGAAAGACGTGAGAAATAATGCATACATTGTTGGCATTCATTTAAGGAGATCATATAGAAATGGCTCATGTTTACATGACTGGATGCTGAGGAGGCCACAGCATTTGGAACAGAAGCCAAGTATATACTGTACGGTAAACTTCTGAGATCAGAAGGAGCCCTGTGAGCTCAGCAACATTTCTCTGAATGAAAGAACCAAGCAGTGTGTCCTTTGAAGTGTATTAACTACCTATTCCATCTGACATCAGCCAAGACCATTAATTCCTAGAGCAAGTCCGGTTGGGTTTGGCTGAAGGTAGGATGGATCTTTTCTTTTTATATAGTCTTAGGCAATTTTCAACATACTCTTTCTATTTAGCAAAACTGATAATCCAGGGTAGTGGGAGGTCACTGTTACATACAGTTCAATACTAGCCAGTAATTATATATCTCTGGAAAGTGATACTCACCACAGAGCATGGTCACACAGTCTACAATGGAATGGATCCACGCTGTTTGTGCATAATCCTGAGCAAAGTATGTCTGGAACTCCACGAAAAAAATTGAGATACATCTGAAAACACAATGCAAGCAGTTTATACAGAAAGTGGGTGAACATGGATTTGAACTAGAACTTAAAGTTTTGGTTCAATCAGCTGTTCCAGTCTCCATGGGTTTTAAGTGATTTTCAGTGATACATGACTGGACCACAATAAGTAGGAAATCAGAAGCTGAACGTTTGAGCCATTCTAGAGGATAAGAAGAACAAATGTTCAGCTACCAGAGGGGCTGCTGAAATCAAGTGGATGTGAAGATCACTGCTATAGAGAAGGTTTTAAGGAAAAGATGGCAGGTCAAAAACACAGATTCTCATTTTAATATTTCAGAAACATTTGTAACTTCTAACAGGTTGTTATGTAAAACTTGACAATGAAGAGTTATGTATGACCCAGAAATTTCAATTCTAGGATCTGTCCAAAGTAATAAATAGATGATGATGATGATGATGATGACAATATGGGATATACATAAAAGAATACATTCTGGAGAACTAGTTTTATATAAGTAAATAGTGTAAACAACCTAATTATCTGTTAATCAGGGACTGGTTAAATAAATTATGACATATTAATATAATGATATATTTTTATGTATTAATTATGATGAAGTCTGTATTTATTAACTTGGAAATTCACAATATAATGCTTAATAAAAAAATTACAGAATAATTCATATAGTAAGGGCTTATTTTCGTGAAAATACAGTTCATATAAAAATGTGTAGTGTAAATACAAAAAGCCTGAAAGTTATACACCAAAATGTAACCATTCATTATATGTGAATGGTAAGATTACAAACGATCATTTTATCTTTATTCTGTACTGTAAATTATTTTACAACGAACAGCTATTTCTTATGTAATACACACAGAGAGAGTGGTTTTCGTATTGAAAAAGAAAGAGTTTAATTATTTAGAAAAAAAAGACAAAAATGAACCGGAAGTAACAGTTTGCATCACTGTACAGCTTGGAAAGAACCTCATACAGATTAGTAGGGTGTCCTAATTCAGGACAGGAAGCTTATAGAGTTTGGTGATAGGGGAAAGAATCAGGCCTTGTGGCTTGGGATGACGTAGGAGGTTATCAGGCTCTTTGGATAGGGCCAGATTCCAACTCGTCCTGTTTCGGCAGTGCACGGTAACCTATTTTCTCATTCTCCTTCTCACCTTCAGGTTGCTGCTGGATGTGAAGGTGGATGGAGAGGTTAGAAAGGAAGGCAAAAATCAGGTACAGTCAGGACACTGTTAGGCAGGGTCAGCTTCATGGGTGTCACACAGAGCCCAGCACTCAAAAGCATAAAACTTGGTTTAATGCTCCACTATCACCGTCTCAAAATCCTTAATAACTTTGTGTTTGAACTTGTGTTTTGTAGGCGAAAGCCAACAGGACAATGGAGCACACATGTGGGCCAAGGGGATATGTGCAGTGTGTGTGTCCGCAGTTCTCTGTGCTCCATTCACATATAGCTTTAGAAATGTCCCCCAGCACAGAATTTCTGTGGACTCACGATACGCTGGAGTTCATGAGACTGAAAGTGAGTACAAGGTAAGTGTCTTACATCTAAGACTGAGTAAGCATGGGGAGAGAAGAGGAAGTGGCGGGGCTGATAGCCCCCAGAGAGGCCATGTTTTTCTTTCAAACTAGAACTTGCTTCAAATGCAGAAAGAAGGCAATGGTGTTCTAAGAAACACGAATGACCAAGGAACCCTATCATATTCTTTCTACTCATGTGCTTCCCTGTATTACTGCCGTACTACTACCCGTTGCCGTTGAGTCAATTCCAACTCATGGCGACCCATGTGTTACAAAGTAGAGCTGCTCCATAGAGTTTTCTCAGCTGTAATCTTTACAGAAGCAAATCTCCAGGCCTTTCTTCCATGGCACCACTGCATGGGTTCAAACAGCCAACCTTTCACATAGTAGTAGAGCACAAACTGTTTGCACCACCCAGGGACCTCTTTCCCTGTATTAGCCGACCACTTATGCTGAAAACGATAACATATAAGGAAAGGGAAAGATGGGACTATCCAGAGGTTCTTTCCGTTTCAGTTCTTCCTTAATCATCAGTAAGCTGAAGGTAGAGAGTGTTGGCAGAACATGCATGCGTGTATCAAGAAGTGAAATAAAAACAGTTGAGTTAGTTTTGTGCAGGATTTCCACTGTTCTGGTAAGAATGAACTACATATACATGTACGAGCTACAAATTATGACTTCTTTAATTTCGGTGATCCCACATATGAGTTAAATGCTCACATTTGCATTTAAAAATAGCATTGCATAACATAAGATGAAAAGTAAATTCATGCTAATAAGTTAACATTTTAGTTTTTTATTAGAACAATATTAAATAGCAAATTAAAAGTAATTATAGCAAGTCGAGAGCGATCACTGAAGAAAGGAAAAGGCTTTATATCTTAACACATTTAATGGCACTTTTTTCCTGCTTTTTGAACAAACAGCCCTGCATTTTCTTTTTTTTATGATTTTATTTTGTTGTTGTTGAGAATATACACAGCAAAGCATACACCAATTCAACAGTTTCTACATGTACAATTCAGTGACATTAATTACATTCTTCAAGTTGTGAAACCATTCTCACCCTCTTTTTCCAAGTTATTTCTCACCCATTAACATAAACTCACTGGCCTCTAAGTTTCCTATCTTTCGAGTTAACTGTTGTCAACCTAATCCCATATAGATAGATCTTAAAAGAGCACAATGCTTAAGGCAGACTTTCTTTACTAGTTAAGCTAAACTATTGTTTGGTTTTAAGAAGACTCCAGGGGATATTTTTGGTTTAAGGCTTAAAGATTATCTCAGAGCAATAATTTTGGGGGTTCATCCAGCCTTCATATGGCTCCAGAAAGTCTGGAGTCTGTGAGAATTTGAAATTCTATTCTACATTTTCCCCCTTTTGATCAGGATTCTCCTATAGAATGTTTATCAAAATGTTCAGTAATGATAGCTGGGCACCATCCAGTTATTCTGGTCTCATGGCAAAGGAACAGCTATCATGGAGGCAATTAGCCACACATTCCATTTCCTCCTCCTATTCCTAACTCTCCTTCTTCCTCTGTTACTCCACGTAAATTGCTCGAGGCACCATTTGTTGTGCCTTCGATGGCCGCTTGCAAGCTTTTAAGAACCCATGCACTGTGCAATGAACTAGGAGGTAGAACAGAAGCAGTGAACACATTATTGTATCAATTAACTGGAAGGCGCCGTTTCATTTGCACTGAGCCCCACAAATTATGTTGCTGTTCTTGGTGTTAGGAAAGAGAAAAAGGAACAGGATGGATAGCTAAATTCTGTGTCTTAGTTGGGTTCTCCAAAAGCAGAAGCTGGAACTGAGTTTGGTGTGCAGGGTATATGATAGGGATCAACCTTTGTGGAAGGAAGAGAAACAAGCAGGACAGGGCAGAGAGATCAAACTACGATGCAAGCCCAACAAAACTGCAGTCAACCCCAGATGAAATGGCTGGGCCTTTATGCTTCCACCTCAACCAATCATTGGATGTGGGCCTCCCCAGCAAGAGTGCTCTCTTGGGAGAGGCAGCCCTCTGCAGCTTAGGGGGGACCCTAAGGGCACTGACAGAGGCAGGCTGCCCTGTATACCCTGCAGCTGAGTGTAGAGATGAGTGGCACATCTCCAGGTCCACCATAGTTGCTTTCTTGTTCTCCACACTGAGCACTGTATGCAATCAACTCAGTCCAAAGGATAAAAAAAATGGTCTTTCTCCATCCAGTGATTTAAGACGTCAGACAATATACTACAGTAGATGTGATGCCGACTTCATAATGATATCAGAGTTTGGAGTACCGAAACATAGTCACATCTAACAGCACAGAGAATGGTAACACAACTACCTAGCCACTACTAGGTACACTGTACACCTGGGATTCAGTGTGAGACAAGATTTGACTGTATAAATTTAAATTTAATTAAAATATCACAACGCTTTTTTAAAGCATGGAATTAACTGCAACAGCCTTAAACTAGTTTTAATTCAGTGTAAAAACCCCTATGATGTTTCTTAACATGCTAAAGATTGCTAGGCTAGTACTAAAAAGTCTATTATTTTCTTCTAACCACTAGGCCTTCAACTTAAGTAAAGAATGATTTCTTGGATATAGCCTCATTATCAAAACAGTTAAACTGCCCTTAGTATTACTGAGATTTTGAGCCAGACAAGTCTTTGTTGTTAGGGGCTGTCCTCTGCATTGTAGGATGTTCAGCAGCATTCTTGTCCTCTATCCAAAATGTCTCCTGGAGATCAACATCAGCGTGGTTGAGAACTACTGATCTAATCAATTGCCAAGTTCTACCTACTACATATTTCTCAAATCCCCCCACTTACCACTACCCTAATTCATATCATAGATCACTTCTTTTCTCCTTACTAAATCTTTTTGGGGAACTTAACATTTGTGTGACTATATTTGGCTCTTGTGACTTTTTTTTTAGTCTTACTTTGTTGTTGTTTTGTTTTCTGCTTGCTGTTTTCTTAACTGATTGACCGGTCACATCAGTCAAACACCTTTGTTGTTGTTGTCATTTGCTATTGAGTTGGCTACAACTCATGGCAACCTTATTTATAACAGAACAAAACATTGCCGGTCCTGCGCCATCTTCATGATCTTTGCTATATTTGAGCCCACTGTTGTGGCTATTGTGTCAATCCATCTCATTGAGGGTTTCTCTTGTTTTTGCTGACTCTCTACTTTAGATATGTGAAAGTCAGAAATAATAGCTGATTCCGGAGCCATTGAGGCTGGATGAACCCCTGAAACTATTGCTCTGAGATAATCTTTAAACCTTAAACCTTAAACCAAAAACACCCCCTGAAGTCTTTTTAAAATCTAACAATAGTTTAGCTTAACTGGTAAAGAATGTCTGACTTGAGCATTGTGTTCTTTTAAGAACTATCTATATGGGATCAAACTGACGACAGCAATTCAAAAGAGTAGACAGGAAACTTAAGGGGGCAGTGAGTTTATGTTAATGGAGGAAGAACAATTCAGAAAAGGAGGGTGAGGATGGTTGTACAACTTGAAGAATGTAATCAGTGTCACTGAATTGTACGTGTAGAAACTTGCATCGGTGTATGTTCTGCTGTGTATATTCTCAACAACAACAAAAAATAAAATAAATTAAAAAAATAATAATACCTGAGATTCTTATCTGAACATGTGAACAGGCTCACCAGAGGTAATAACCATGTATGTGCTTCTGAATTATTGTGATTTTTGTGGAATATGGAGCCCTGGTGGTACAGTGGTTAAGAGCTTGGCTGCTAATCAAAAGACTGGCAGTTTTAATCTACCAGCCCCTCTTTGGAAACCCTATGGGGCAGTTCTACTCTGTCCTATAAGGTCACTATGAGTCGGAGTCGACTCGACAGCAATGGGTTTGGTTTTGTTTTTTCTCATGGAATATGAGAGGAATATTGTATCACTTCTTAGTTGTTTTCAAAAGCAAAACGTATCATAGAATTTTCCAAATATCAAAGTTTCATGACTTATGCCTTTTAAATACAGGCATGACCTTAAAGAAAACAAATTTTATTATGAGCACACGTGGTTCTCACTCTGGAAATTATTTTGATTGTTCTTTGGAATATTTGTGCAATTGCAGACATCAGTAGAGTTGGGTTCTGATCCCTGATTCTCACACTGGGTAAATGAGTGTCCTTGAGAAAACTTCTTAATCTCCCAGGGTTTGTTTACCCATCTATAAAATAAGCAGTTTGGTAACTGCGACTGTATTAGTCAGAATAGGTTAGATTATGCTGCATTAGCAAACAATTCCTAATATCCTGTCATGGTTTGATAGGCTGTGTTTATAAGAATGTGGAAACAAAATACCACCCAAGTGTCATCTGTTACGAAATGACATTCTCAAAGAAATTTTCTTTCAAGGAGCCAACATGCTTGTTGTCTCCATCTTGTCATCTTCTGTTGTAAAATTTTGCTCCTGGATCTTGTAGTGTTAGGTGCTGACAACATCTGACATTTGGTTAAGACTTTTCTCTGGGTGATGAAATTAATCCACTAAATCAATGTAGGAAGTGATTCAAGAGGCATTGTAACCTAGTGGTTAAAAGCACTGTCACTTACTAACCGTGGGACCTTGAACACGTTATTCAAGCTGTCTCCACTGTTACATAGATTGAGTGATTTTATCAGTGAAAACACTTGGAACAATGCCACTGCGCACTGAGTAAGTGCTCAGAGAACATTAGCAATTATAGAAATTTGACTGTTGTTAAAAGAGTTCCACAATTCCATAGAACTCTAGACATCTATTGCACTAAGTGAACTTGGACTCAAAAGACTTAGAGAAAAATATGTCTCAGCTGTGGGAGTTTTCTTGGGACACTTAAACCAAATGTTGCTTTTCAGGTATCACCTCCAACTAAAGTGGTCAATTTATGAATAGAGTATCATGCAATTACACAATGAAATATGATTCTTAACATAATGTATTTGGTAATAAGATGTCTAGAAAAAATAATCAATACACTTTAAGGGACTGAATAAATAAATGACTACTTTTTGATTAAAAAAAATAGCCTGCACAACTTTAAACTTTATGTAAATTTTGTATGGGAGGCAGCATGGTCAGGCACAAGGCAAGAGCTAAAACATGATTTTAAAATGGCCTGGGTCGTAGCGGTAGCATTGTTTGTAATAGCAAAAACCAGAAAACAATAACACATCAATAAAAATGTGTTAAATACATTATGGACATATCCATATGTTGGAATTCTAAGCAACTATTTTTCAATGAGATAGAGCCACATATGATGATATGGAAAGACTTCCAAGAGATATTATTAAGTAGGAAAAAAAAGTTCAAAGCAGTGTGTATAGTATGATCTCACTGGTGTAAAAAACGGAGCATGCATTTATATGTGAATATAAATTTCAAACAAAACTACAGTTTATCATGACGCATAATCAACCAAACCTTATGGCAACACAAACAAACATCCTGCTTCTTTCCTACATTATAGCCTTGTTATTGGGGAGGTATCAATGCCTTTATCTGTGATGCCATCAAATAAAGTTAATAGTACAAATTACTTTTATGTACTGCCAAGGGTTTGTGCCAGAGAAAAGCAACAATGAGTTCTATTTGAATGAACACACCAGTAGAGAAAAAAGCTAGCATATGCAGATTTCAAAACTATATTTATTTCAACGATATGAAGAATGTGTCCCATTGTATACTTTTAATTAACTTCAGCATATTCAATTCTGTGTTCTTGGAAAAAAGAAAGAGAGAGAGAGAGAAAGACACGAGCAAGCAAGAATGAGAGAATCCTTGTATTTATGCTGTTGTCATCCAACTGCTTTCCTTCAACCTTGAACTCAGCCTCTACCATCATAGCCAAAATGCAAACTGAACCAAAAGCATTCAAACTCAAGGTTTTTAAGTTCACAAGGGCTCAGTTCCTGGTGAGCCAATGGGTTTTCAAGGATTACGCTGACCTTTTATGTTTTTCCCTTCTGGGATGAACGGAGACCCCAACCTGTGTAAGATTATCTCCATGTGTTATGTCCACAAATCCACTGTAAACTTTATGATCAGACTCTTTTCACCCAGTGCTCTTTTTCCTCATCCCTAGACTCAAAGCCACATGTTACAACTTTATGATCTCTTGCCATCAGTTTGTTCATAAAACAAAAACCAAAACAGTTGCCATCAAGTCAATTCCAACTCATAGTGACCCTACAGGACAAAGTAGAACTGCCCCATAGAGTTTCCAAGGAGAGCCTCGTGGATTCGAACTGCCGACCTTTCAGTTAGCAGCTATAGCACTTAACCACTACGCCACCAATGTTGCTTTTTAATTTACGAGTTATGAATTACACATTCAATTAGCTCCCCTTTTCCACTGTAAAATCTTAATGAGAAGATAATAGATAAGAAAATTCTGGAGAAAAATGCTTGCAGAAATTATCTTACCTATCCTTGGAGCCATATCAGCTTATGCTAACTTATTTTCTCAGGTGGGTGTCTGGTAATTTCTTAAAAACCCCTGGAAAATTTGTTTTATCATGAAAATACCATGGAAACATTGACTCCTCTAATGAAAAAGTCAGACTACTTCCCATTATTTAGTATATAAAGGGTTTTTAATATTTTATATTAATAATGGATAGAAGAAATATGGATAGAAGAACATACTTCCACATCTTCTGGAGATGCTTATGAAAACCAATGGCTGGAATACTCATGTCATTTGGTCTAAATATGATCTGACACTTTTTTTACCCAGGAGTTTTTTTTTTATTATTATTAATATATATGTTACATAAAATTTCCCATTTTAAACCTGGGACTTCTAAGTGTCAGAAAATCACATTCTTTGCAAAGAAAATTATATCTGAGCAGTCAAATAAAATACAAATGCACATGCACACACACACACACCGTACATATATACTTATATTTTCATAAGCCAGGTCCTATCAATAAACGAAGAAGAAAATCCCACCTACCTTGTGACTGCCCGGGTGCAGATGGTAACAAGGAAACAGCCAGCCACAATCATCCAGCCCCAGCCTCCATCTGGTGGGGAGGTATACTGAGCTCGATTTACTTTTGCCATGGCTTCAATCTATCTTTTTTCTTCTTTTCCAAGTTACTCCAACAGCCAAGTTATGATCTTGAAAGAGTTTGCTGCCCAGTGACTTCCTGTTGGTATTCAAGTTTGGCATAGAATGCTACCTGGCACACAGGTTACTGGCCATCTAAAACCAAAAATCAGGAGATGTTTGTATTTTATTGCCATAGCCAAAAAGTTGATTTTCACTTGGTAAAAATGATTATTACTTTTCTGTATAATAAGATTATTGGTAACTATGAATATCAGACTGGAACAAAGACTTGGTACCCATCCCTCTTTTAATAATATAACCTCTCAGGTTTTAGCTATCCATGTTCATCCAGCTAGATACCATATTCATAGCTTCCCTTGAAGATAGGTGTGGCAACATGGTTTAGTCTACACCCAAGGGATGTGAGCAGAAGTAATATGTGCCACTTCTAGTTCATCAGCTTAAAGGCAAAGGCACTTCAGCCATCCATTTCCCACAGTCTGGAACATGGACGTGAGATGACACAGCTTCAATCATACACAACAGGACATCACCATTGGGGCTGGCAGAGCTTCAAGATCCCCAAATGACTTTGTGGAAAAGAGCCACCCCTACAGCTCTAGACTTCATACATCTCTACATTACTATATGAAAGTAAATAAACTTCCATTTTTTTTCTGAACCTCTGTATTTTGGAATCTCTTTGTTACAGCAGCTTAGGTTATATCCTAATTATTATACTCAGTGAGTCTAAAAGTAACTTCTTTGACATTTCTGACAAAGAATACTATAATTTTGAAAGTATGTAACTAAAGCAAGACTAGCATGGCAAATAAATGAAACAGAATGGGAGCCCAGAAGCTACTACATAATAATACAATATAATCTAAATAAAGTAGCAAAGATCAGTGGAGGAAAAAAAAAAGGATTATTCAATACATCATAGTTACAACTATTCATTTAGTTCTTGATCTTCTTGACAGATCAGACTTAAATGTTTAAAAAAAAAAAAACCTAGGTGAAAATGTAGGCAATTATTTATCTGACATGTAGATAAGAGGATTCCCTAAAATATAAAGCAATAGAGCAAAAGAAGGGAAAAAATTTTGTTGATTTGTCTAAATTAGAATTTAATATTTCTGTACATCAAAACAAGTAATAAAATCAAAAGGTAAATCACAAGCTTGGAGAAAAAACATTAGAAGTCCAGCATGGTTCAAAGAAGTAATATCTACAACATTAATTCATTCAACTATAAATAATTATTGAGTGGCTCGTATGTGCTAGGCACTATTTTAGGGCACTGGGGATTCAGTGGTGAGCAAAGCACACAAAGCTCCTTGTGGTGGACAGATTCTAAGGTGTCCCTATGACCCCTGTGCCTCCTTTGTTCATACCTTGTGTAATCACAATCCCTTCTCCTTGAGTGTGGATAGGACCTGTGACTTGCTTCTAACTGATAGAGAATGCCACAAGTGATGGAACATCAGTCCTGTGATTACATTACATAAAGACTCAGTCTTGCTAGCAGACTCGCTCTTACTCTTCCGATACCCTTGAAGAAGCAAGCTGCCATGTTGCAAACTGCTTCTGGAGAGGGCCACATGGCAAGGAACTGCAGCAGCCTCTATGATCTGAGAGCAGCCTCCAGCTGACAACCAAAAACTGAAGCTCTCAGTCCTACAACTGCAAGAAAATGAATGTGGCCAACATCCCAAGTGAGCTTGGAAGCAGATTTTTCCCTACTTGAGCCTGCAGCAAAGAACACAGCTTGGCTGAAACCTTGATTGCAGCCTTGTTAGTTAGACACTGAGCAGAGGACTCATAAGCTGTGCTGGTATTCGGGTGAGATAAGGTATTTCCTCACGTATTCTTCAGCATGTTGAAAAGACTTCTTAGTTACAGTTAGGGAGGAATTTTTTAAGAGGCAAAATAAGACTTTTGACAATTACTTTTTCCACTGGATTGAGCAAACCACCCAGTTGTTGATACAAATCTATTATGATCACCAGAATAAATCTTAAGTAATACTAATTGAAACATCATTTCAAATATGACAGTGTCATTTAGGTTGTACATAATTTGGTGAATGTGGGCTATGTACCACTTGGCAAATTATGGGCAAACCAAAATGCCTAATAAAAAAATAATTTAAGACTACAACTTTCTCAATAAAATGACTCACAATAGAACTTTGCAAGCGTACATTTTGGATGCCACTGGAATGGATTGGTAGCTTTCAAGTTCAGAGAGGAAATACAAGAGCAAAGATAGTGAGGCCAAGGTAATAGGAGTGATTCCCAAATAGGCCACTTAGGTTTGCTCACTTTCAAGCGCTGGCCTCCCTCTTCATATTCATAGTAGTCATCTCATGAGTAGTGGGGAGACTGATCACAATGGAGGTCAAGTGGACAATGGAAGAGTATAAATCCATCAAAAGTATTGAAAGAGCAGTATTGGTACAGATACTAAACCCTACTGTTTTAGAGAAAATCAAGACTATTATTTGAAAGATAATATTGCTATGCATTGGCCTAAAACCAAACTAGTTGCCACTGAGTCGATTCCGACTCAATGGCAACTCCATGTGTTGCAGAGTAGAACTGTGTTCCATAGGGTTTTCATGGCTGTAATCTTTTGGAAACAGATTGCCAGACTTTACTTCCGAGGCACCTCTGGGTGGGTTTGAGAGTGCATAACCAATTGCGCTACCCAGAGACTCCTTTACTGGCCTAGGGACTGAGTAACAACCACTACACTGGTGTCAGGGCTAAGTGAAAATAACAATATACAACTACCGCTTACAGAATTCTTACCATAGGCCAAGTTGCTATTAAGCATCTTTAGGACAGTATAGCCCTTACAACATTTAATCCTTATAACAACCATAGAAAGTAGGTATTATCTATCTTTGACAGATAGAAAAACTTAGGCTAGAGAACTTAAGTAATTTGCCCAATTATTATTAACAGCTACTGGGTCTGATTACAAGGCCGTTTTTCTTAAACACTACCGTACACTGCTTCTACTACATTTCCTGGTTCCTAGGTAAAAATTCATATACATTTTCTTCTAATCCATATACTACATAATTCTTGCTGATGACACATCAATAGGGTGACATGAATTGCAGCTTGATGCAGCTATAAATGAAGCTCTTTAAGTGGCGCCATTGTTATTTCCTTGAAATATGCCAGTAGGGGTCACTGACTTGATCAACCAGGGGAATAGCTATGATTTCACAACAAAACCAACCTTTAAAAGGAGTCCCCAACTCTCTGGAGCTTCAGGGACAGTCCCTCCAAACCATAACTTTGTGTCATAACTAAGTACTTTTAATAGTCAACAACTTTCTTCCCCAAAATCAAACATTAAAAAAAAGTCTTATTTTAAAAATTTACCATACTTCTATTTTTGTTTTCCCACACATAACCCACTGTAGAAGACAGAGCTAGCTACCCATCCAAAATCCATTGTGCAACCCTTTCTCTGTACCATCAACTTTGCCTATATTATGTTGCCAGCATATCAAAGGTTCTTATGACTCACATTTATGGTGACTCATTTTATATCTAGCATTCTGTCAATTCCAATAGGGCTGACATTAAAGATTCTATCTATACTTGCATACAAACACACACAGTGGAATGACTCACTCATTGGACACAATTAGCTGCCTAGTGTCAGAAATAATAAACTCAATTGTACAAGGAAAAAATGCCAAAGCTTAGAAACCTCTGCCTTGGTATAGTCCTAGACTCTTCTTATGTTTTTCCATTTAAATAAGCTCCAAGGTTAAACTGTTTTCCAGCTTAAGACTCTAAATCCACCTACCAATAAAGGCCCAGTAGAAGGACCATCCTGAGTTAGTGTTGCCTCATGCTGTTAAAAAATGCTGAAACAGGCAGTGCTGTGGCCCAGCCCTTTTGGAAAGGAATACAATAAGAAAGATCAAGAATTAGAAAGTTACTCATATTCTTTGAATAGTAATCTCATTTCTGGGAAGTTATCCTGAGAAAACAATTTAAGAGAAGCCTAAGAATATGGGCAGAAAAATAATAGCTGCCTTATGTAAAACATAAACAACCTATGCCTTACGTAAAACATAAACAACCTAAATGCTCAACCACTGAGGAGTCTTTAGAAAATTGTGATACATTAAACAAATGGAAGAATATACAGTCCTTTAAAATTATAAACAGGAAGAAAATATAGTAATACAAAACCAAAACCAAACCCAGTTGCTATCAAGTCGATTCGGACTCATAGCAACCCTACATTCATGATGCAATGTTAAGGCAAAAAGCAGACTCAAATTATATGTACAGTTCGAGAGAAGCTATGTAAAAAATGTATACTTGAGATGTATACTTGAAAAGAGTAAAAAGAATGTGCAAAAAAGGAATATATCGGGCTGATAGGATTGAATTATGATTCTTTTTTCAAAATTATATTCAATACTGTTATTTTTTTGACAAACACAAAAAACTTTATTAGAACACTTTTTTTGGTGCACAAAATATGAAAATTTTAGGGCAGAGGGCCTTATCAGCCTCTACATTTATAGTATGAAACTTCTAACCAATAGAGTTATATGTCTTAGCCAAGACGGAATTAAAGAATATGGGAATTACATTTTCTGTTTTCTCACTGTGTAAGTATTATTAATTAGCTCTTTGGAGCTGAATAAATTTTGTCAATCCCTGATCTTTTTGCTACCCCAATTCTGCCTTACCTTGGATTGTGGAGGAATGAGTAATATCCCCTAGACCTGAGCTTTTTAAGGATCCCAAGAGTTTGGGACATGGGGAAAGAATCTCTTCATCTTTCAGGCCTGCAGCTTGTTTGTTCCTTATCTGTCCTTCCACTGCCCAGGTGAATTTACTCCATGGTGTCATACAATGGCAGCTTGAGCATGTATCTCAGGATAGGTATAAACAGTTCAATTTTTTTATGCATTCATTCATTCATCCATTTATTCATTGTACTGAGGCTATAAGTACGGTATAATAAGCCTGGCTGCAGT